TTTTTTTTTTTGTTTGTATTTTATAGAATTTATGCAGAAGCAAAATAGAAAAACCTGATTATTTGATTTTAAATTTTTAGGTGGAGATTCAAAGACACTCATGTTTGTACAGATCAGTCCTAATGAGAATGATCTTGGTGAGACCTTATGCTCACTTAACTTTGCCAGTAGAGTTAGAGGAATAGAATTGGGTCCTGCAAAGAGGCAGTTGGACAACACAGAATTCCTAAGATACAAACAGATGGTACTGATTTCATCTGTCCAATTAACAACATTTTTTCTGAAATTTTCTGCATAGTTAGCTTACTTGAAAGTGCTAACACAATCCGTTTCAATCATCTCAAATCTTGTGCTGAAAAGGTTGAGAAATCAAAGCAAGACATGAAGATCAAAGATATGCAAATGAAGATGATGGAAGAAACGATTCGTGGATCAGATTTGAAGATAAAAGAAAGAGACCTCAAAAATAAGAATTTGCAAGACAAGGTGCTGCATAGAAAATCATATTTGCTTTGGTCTTGAAAACATCAGATCTTTGGTTAATTTTTGGTTCCTATTGGGTTTACTTTGCAGGTGAAGGAACTGGAAGCACAGCTACTTATTGAAAGGAAGCTAGCACGTCAGCATGTTGATACAAAGATAGCTGAGCAACAGGTTAAACAACAGCAAGAAGTGTTGAATAATACACCTATGAGACCTCCATTGGCAGCTCGAACTTTGGGAACTATCAAGAATTTGAATGATGCAGCTAGTGGTGGACTGATGAAAGAGCAAGTAAATCTCTTTCGACCATTGATTGAGAATAGCTCCAAACCCCTCACACCCCTTCCCTTCACAGACAGATTTGATCTACTAGAAAAGGAAAACAATCCAGATATGGCTGAAAACCTGCAACTACCAAAAAGGACAGGAAGAGCCTCAATCTGTGCAGGTGCAAGCAGGATACCTGTTATCTCAGCTCCAAGGCGCAACTCTCTAATTCCACTACCAAGTGCACCTAACTCAACCCAACCATCACGACCATTATTGCCATTGCCACCAATCGAAGCAAACATAGAGGAGGAAGAAGACGAGTTCTTCCCTGAGCAAACTGTCTTTAATAGTCCCAAGGCAATGAAGAGTGGAAGTAAGAAGTTGAACAGCATTTTGAGACGAAGCCTTCATAAGAAAATCCAGATGAAGTCCCCAATGCAGCAACATTTGAGAAGAGGTGTAAATGTGGGGATGGAGAAGGTAAGAGTCTCCATTGGAAGCCGTGGGAGGATGGGGCACAAAGTACTGCTGGGCAATGGGAGAAAAGGAGGAACAAAGGAAAACTATCAGAAGCTTACTCAGAGAGAAAAGGAGAGAGGATGGAACATTGGAACCTCCGGGAGGACTGCAATCTAACATCTAGATAAAGATGTGTTTTATTTATTTTGTAATTTGTGTTATGTTATTGCAGAGAGCTGAAAGTTAGTGTGTGAATGATCTCAGTTGATACTAATCATCTGTTTAGGTTATTGTAACTTTGTAATCTGTGATGGATTGATGTACATATTCAAGAAGCATTGACTTCTTGGAGAACACTGGAAACTACGAACAGAGGAGCTTTCTTTCCGTTAGTTGTTAAAACATGATAGTACATTCATTTTTTCTCTTGTATCATCCCTCTTTTAATGCAGGATACCTGAATGGTAAATATGGGATGGTTCGTGAAAACTAAAAATCCGTCATATTCACCAGATTATGATTTGTTCTACAGGGTTTAATTTAATAAATTGTCTATTAATTATTGACGTTTTTTCATTTGAGTCTAAAATTTTTGTTTTCTTTCGAAATAATTTATTTTTAATTTTGTTTCAATTTTGTCTAGTTCAAGATAACTCCATCAACTAAATTGATGGAATTTCACTTTTTTTATTGTGTGGTCCCATGTGGCTTAAAAATGAGAGAAAATTGTTGCTATTTACTTGGAGTTAAATCTTAATATAAAAAGGCACTGTTCTCAGGCAAGAAAAAAAAGCGATTAGAAGTATATATTTATTATACTTTTACACTATTAATTTGAATAAAAAATTATAAAAGTAAATTTTATTTTTAACGTAAATGTCACATTGAATATTTAATTAAATAGTTGATAAAACTAAAATCAATTTTTATTTTTTCCATGCTAATTAATGATGAAAATGTATGGTAAATGGGAAATGATTTTTGTATACCCTTTTTATCTCACTTTTTTGTACAACTTGACGTGTCATTAAACCGATTGGTTCTTTTAATTCATGTGCAACCCGTAATATTAAATGCATCCATTCATTTAATGACATATGAAAGTTGTATAACAATGTGATATAAAAAAAGTTGTCCCTATAACACCACTCATAATAAATGTATTTTTAATATTTGCTTTTAGAATAAGATTAGAAAATTACATATAAAAGATTGCTTTATATGGGAGAAATTTTTTAAACAAATTGCTTTATATGGTGGAAAATTTTGAAACAAATTTGCCTCCCTTATATGGACACATGGTTTGCTTATATGGAAGCTTATGCAGTGCTACACAATAAAAATGTGAAATTCCGTTACTAAAACTCCGGAATTGTGTTGGACTTGATGAAATTGAAATACCTTTGAAAGGTAATAGATGATTTTGGAAGAAAATAAAGATATTAAACTAAAACGAAACAAAGTCAATAGTTGATAGACAATTTATTAAATTATGTCATTTTTGCCGTATAACTTATTTTGCAATAAAGCATCCTTCTTCTTACAACATCATCTTATTTGAGGCGCATTTTCAATACATGATTGACATTCTTTTAGCTATCCCACTTGGAGGTCAACTCCTTGAAAAAAAGAGATTGTTAAAGAAATTCATCTTCATTACTTTGAGTATAATAAATAACATATTTATACTATTTTACCATATGATAGTTAAATGGAGAATTTTTAAAGAATTATATAAAATAAAACTTTATTCTTTTTATTCTTTGATATTATAATTATTACATAAAAAATTTTATATATGATCAAGTGACACATTGACCAAGAAAGCCACCATAAACAAATCCTAATAATCAATTTGATTTGAATGAAATGAAGTGAAATGAAGAGAACGGGATGGGAGAAAGGGGGAGGTTGACTTTTCTTTCTTTCTTTTTTTTTAACATGAGGAAAATTTTGGAGAATAGGAAATATTTTTCAAGATATCCTTAAAAATCAAATTCTCAATCAATTAAATCCAAACACTAAAACTTAAACACTAAAACTTGAGAACAAACTATTAAAACGGAAAGCCCAGTTCGGGGAGATTGCCGTATTTCAACCAATTTAATTTTTGGTTGGTTATAGACTTTCCCTCCCTTCACCTCAAATGAAATAGACTACAGATCCAATCTGCTACCATAATATAATATCAAATCTAAATATATTTCCATAACTAGAAGCAATATCTCTTGATTTCTGCAAATCAAATCACCTAATATAACATATTTCATTACAAAGAACACCTACAGAAAGGTTTGAAGTTCTATCATCTGAACAAGATATACAAAAGATCGGTTTTTGTTCTGCACTGATCAGAAATATAAAGGCCAGGAAGTCGAGCCTAACAAAACCGATTCATACGAAGAAATAACAATATCTAAAGGACATAGAGGTTATTGCCACTTTCATTTCTGTGTTCTCATCTGTTTGATGTGATCATAGACACATCCTATTTTATCCTAACTCTCCCGGGGGTTCCCTTTCTAGTCCCAGCTGTACAATAAATTATGACCTCCCCCACAAGCCACTCTGCATTTTCAAACCCTCCTTTCTCCTCCTCCGCATTTCATAATCTTCAACCCAGGAAAGTATCATCCTTTTCTTCTCTGGGTTGAGCAATGGGAATCTTCCCAAAACACCTTTTATAGTCACTTAGGTGGAAGATCTTCGCCATTGCTTCTTTCCTTTTTTCTGATTTAACTTAAATGGACTCCAACTCTTCCTGCGTTTTGAGGTTTCACAGAAGAGGCCAGAGGCCAATGCCTGCTGAAGCCACAACTCAAATTCTTCATCTTCGTCTATCATCTCAGCATCCAAATCCCATGGGAATCTGCTTGAGTTAGATCTTTGGGTCTTCTCCAACCCAACCATGTTTACATGGAAGCTGGGATGATGGGTGTTGGGTTTACATTCCATTCCCTGCAAGAGATTCTCAGTCAGCATGGTAAACACAACAATGCCAAAAATAAAAATAAAATAATAATATCAATATCATCATCTTGTTCAGATATCATTGCTAGAGAGAGCTGCTATAATTGAAAGAAAACCAGTTGGTATCGCATGCTTGTAAGAACACTTGTTATAGATAATTCTTTTATTTAAAGAGAGTCATGACTGACAACTATTAAAATCATAACACCAAACTCTTCAAAATTCATCAAGGCTTTCAAATGTTTTAAAGTGAAAAGATTAGTGAAACAAATTAAACCACAAAAAGACAAAAATATCAGCAATATTAGGGTGCAGAACATTTTGCGCACTTTTTTAACATATCAGTTCTTGCACACTCTACTTGAGAGGCAAAAGGGTTTAGATTGAGATCGGTAATCCAGCTGGCAGAAGATATGTGGTATTGTAGATGGTCAGATTTGTGTTAGACACCACAGAAAGGATTACAGACATATGATATATAAACCACCAACCTGACAAATAGCCCATTCTGACACATCAAAGATCTTGCTCTCAGCACAAACAAAAGCACGTGGTATCTCCACCTAAAAGACAGTCAGAAGAAGAAATTTATTAAGTACTATGGTTATTGAAAACTTTTCAAAATAAGTAAAATTGAAAGAAAATGACAGCAAGGTAATGCAATGATCCACACAGCAAACTTCTTACATGGCAAATCAGAGACTAACATTAAGCAAGCCTTACTTAAACTAGGGGAGAATCAAGGATTAATTAAAGAGATATGGGTTTTTCTGTTATGATGCTCTCAAGGTCCATAATAGCATAACATTTGTCAACCCTGCAGCGCAGCTGAAAACACAAGAAAATAGCTAGTCAGGCTGGCCAAAGGGCAGCAGACAAGGGTAAGAACGGTATATATATGGTATATACAAAAAGGTGTGTCCATGGTGAAGCAGCTCAATCAAGTTGCTCAAGGTCTACAGAACATGGGTTGCTCTCTTGATGAACTTGGTGTAGTTGATTTAGAAATGGGTATGCCAAGCAATGATTCAATTTCCCTTGAGACTGACTGGTGAACAAAAAATTGTTCAGTCCAGGGAGATTTCTATTGAATCAAGTGCAACCAAACCAACTGAAATTGTACAACACCCATTGCCAGAAAATCATAATGGGCTTGATGTAATGCTCTGCAAAAGGAAGTGGTGATTGACTGCCAAATCTTCAGCAATAGCTGCTGCCACCTACCTGATATGGTGTGAGCAATAGAAGAACCTTTCAAGGTGTAAACAATGATAACAATATTAATTCCTTTGTTTATCAAATTTTGCGCATTGTTAAGCTTAAATGAATGCATGTAAAGTTAATGTTGAAATTTGATACGTAAGTAGATTTTCCATTTTTCCTTTGGGAATGCCCGAGTTCAAAAGGATATGTAGGTATGGAGTTTTGATGGCTTAGTGAAAGAATGATCTTTATTTGTAAGGAAATAATAGTCCAATAGGAGAACTGGCATGGGATCAAGACTTCAATTTGTGGAACGGCAGCATCATGCTCCCTCAAGGGCCGACAGCTCAAAGTTGACCCGCCAACAGATTCAAGTCAACCCAACAGAGGTTGAACAAGGGTGACGTGGCTTTTAGAATCCTGACTTTTTTTTGCAGTTTAGTCCTTCAAAACTTTTAAAAAGTGTAGTGCAATGCTAGACTTCAACTTATGCAATTTTTTATTGTTTTCCCCTTCTTGTCTGATTTTTCTGGCATTTTTTGAATAAAAAATTAAAAAAAAAAAAAGCGAAGACACCCAGGCGCACATAGCTGCCCCAAGGCACTAGTTGGTGACCTGGCACCTAGCCACTGCCCAGCACCTTCTGCAACATTGCTTGTAGGGGGATCTTGAATTAAATTCATGATATAGTTGTGTGAACTAAATTCTGGATATGAACTTGTGAAATATATGCAACAGTAACTCAAAACTGCTTAGTATTGCAGCAGCATGTTTGCTAGCTTCCTCTTCCTGCTATTGCCAAGTAATATACTATGGCTAATTGAATTACCAGTTAAATAACAGAAGGGCCAACTATTCAAGGGTCAATCAGGGGCTTGATAACCAAAGGAAAAATAAAAGGTTGCCACTAGTCAATCATGCAAATCAACCAAATTTATTAGCAACCATATAAAAAACAAATCAATGTTTCTTTGGAAAAAAAAAAATACCTTTTGGGGCCTATCAAACACCAAGGAACCTTTGTATTCAACCCATCCATCACCATCCTTGGCTTGGTGATATTGACAGCAATACTGAAACCGAAACAAATCTATTTAAATTTTGAAAAGAAGTGCACCGAGGTGCACGAATGTAGGAGTGTTCTGACAAAGAGAACAAAAAGAAGACTAACCTGACACCACCTGGCCTTGGCTTTGTTCCTATTGGTGCACACCCATATATGTGAATGGCCACACTTTGTGCACTGTATACGCCTTGACTCTTCAGAACAATGATCTGGACAATGCTGAAGAAAGCAAGAGAATAATTAGAAGAATTTCAAATTACTTACCACTCAACTAGGTGATTTCATTTTCACCAAAGAGTCATATGCAGAAAGGCATAAACTAGTTGAACTGTCAAGGCCTCATGCCCTCTGTGATTAGTGCCAAGAAGGGAAAATATAATTGTGCATGCACATATTGAGTATAAGATGAAATCCTCAACCATTTTGCCAATAGTAAGATTGCATAACTGGGAATCCATAATTAATCTTTCTTTCATGGGGTGAAAAATCATTGCAAATAAAGAATAACATGGTTTCCATGTCAAATTATAATTATCTATTTATAACCACTTTTCATCCCATTTATACAGCTATTTTTCATAAATTCAATTATAAAAATAAAATTATAAGAAGAATCATCAAAGAAATGAAAATCAATCTGAAGAATATAAAAACCAGTAAAAGAAAGTACAATAACCTGCCAAGAATCACCGTTGGACTTTTGACAAACACTTCTAGTCCTTGATTCTTCCTTTCTCAACTGCTCATCATATTCCCTCTTCTTCATAGAATCAGAAAGAACCTACAAATTCAAGCCACAAACAACAGCAAGGATGAAATCCAGTCAATCCTTGATTACTTGACCTTATTCGATTTTGATTCAGATATAAATGTACAAAAATGCAATGAGGATTACAATACAGTAGTTTACCTCATAAGCACATTGAAGTTTCTTAAATGATTCACTTGCCAAAGGACTTCCCATATTTTTATCAGGATGGACAAGCATGGCCTGTGGCAAACAAATGGACACGGAATATAGAAGTAAAACAAGTATGCAAAAACACTGGAAAAGAAAAGAGAAGGAATCTCTTGAAAAGAAAAGTTTGTATCAAGGAAAGACAAGTCATAGGCACAAATCATCATTTTGTAATCATAATTCTACATGTCACAGCAGCAAGAGCAAAATATTCCTATTAAATAATCCCACAAACAATTCCTAAGATAGAAATAAAGGTTAAGAAAGCAATGCCTAATCTAGAATCAGTAGTAGAATAACATTCCTATCCACGGCAGCTACTTGTAACTCCATTGAGGTAATGAAAACTAAATTGAATAAATACTATTAGATTGAAATGTTTGTCATATTTGAAGCGAATTGGCTTCTACCTTTTTTCGGTATTCCCTTTTCAATATAGCAGCCTCAATTTTTTTGTGGCGAGGAAAGCCTAGTGCTTCATAATGATCCATACTATTTAATATTTTTTTCATCTCATCGGCTGAACTTCCCTCTTCTTGGACCACCTTGTTAGCAGAAATGTCCTTTTGCTTAACAACAGATGAAGTGGTAGCAGATTTGCTAGATGATTTACATGACTGCACTTTTTCAGGCTCATCAATGTGAACGGAGCATTCACATTCTGTGGAAAACTCATCTTCCATAACATTCTTGGCTTCCATTTGCTCTTCATATGGTGTACTTTCACTCACATTGTCACACCATTGGAGCAAATAATTTAACACATCATTTGAAAAAAATGCAAGGTTTATTGAGAGGAAAACACCCAGCCAGCCAACATGAACTTTGACAAAATAAATAGAATATGCTGTTGCTGAAAAGACTACCAACCGTGCATGATTTAAGGAGAACAAATAACCTGCATTTAAAGATGAAGACAGAATCACAAAACATGTATACATGATATAAGTAAATGCATGAACCTCATTTCACAAACAATTTTCTTGATCTAAAAAATGGGGTTTTTCTAACCTACAAGTTAAGGCACCTTGTAGCATTAATTAACATGGGAAAAATAAAACTAATCAACTGTCCAGTTAAAATCATCCATGTGGCATTACTGCTGAAATTAATGTAAATTAATACCAAAAAGGTGCATTTATTGCACTCTTAACCTATGTC